GTTACATTTAACGGTCCTGTTTCGGGAAGTCTCCCAAAAGTTAACTGAGAAAGTAGGTCTCGCTCCAATGAGAAATCGCCGTGACATCCCTTGGCGCTCCCACCCTGCCCCCACCCGGCTATACTTTTTCGACTTATGAATTCATTTTAATCGCTATATAATTAAATTATTGTGTTTGTTGCACTTATTCGATATTATTGCTTGCACCTTTTGGGTTTATTTAAAGGGTTGGGATCTAACGAATAGTTTAGTCTCCGTTTCGCACGTGCCTTTACCTACTTAGGTAGGTACCTAGGGAGTTGCTTACCCTTTCTAAGTTCAAAACAAACTAGGGAACAGACGCTACTCACCCCTCCGCCATCCCCCTTCCCTCCAACCGCAATTTCACTGCGACGCGACTAGAAGAAAAAAGATCTTATCCCTCAAATATGGCAAAAACCACTCCTTGCAACTCCACTTATTCCTCGATACAACTCGACACGGCTTTTTGGCTACATTGAGTAATGTCTAATGAATATTGTGTTATCATGTTTTTCTGTAAAAGGTCGTGAGATCCATATTGATATTGCGGACTTGTGTGGATCTCTGTTTATGCAGAAGTGCATTGATTATTCCAATACGCTGAATTATTCGTTCATGAGAATTATTGTGGGTGGCGATGCATTATTAATGTTTCGCGAAGTTTGTAAAATGACAACTCGTTTGAACTTGCACTATATTGTGGTTTTTTGTTGCGTTACCACTTATTCGTGACTGGTTTTGTTTATTTCTCGACCAATGTGTTTACGTTTTGCACTTCAATTCCATCTCGGTCAACCTCAAATAATTATTCTTTCAGATGCCGCGGTGATATGAAGCTGCCTCGAGGGTCCCCGATCGTCTACATTGGCGTGGGCGTTGTCATAGGACTTTGCCTATCGCTCATCGTTGGTCCACGGGCAAAAGGGTTGTACCCAGTGAGTTTCTCTGTTTTATTGGACTCTTCATTGGCGTCCCAATGTGTTTTTAAACAATCAGTCTCCGAAGTAAAAATTCCTCTCTGTTTGATAATGTAACTAGCTGCTAGTTCTAGCTTCAAAATACTTCAGTTACACAAGCATCATCTTTGAAAATAGAGCAGTTGTGAATCAGCTATTCTTAGCGTTACAATGGCGTTCGCTGATGTCAGAGTCCGCGATCCGTCGCAGGTTTCGCTGATTTTCGCGATTTTCGCGATTTGCGCGATCACGCGACGGGTTACGGAAATCTCGAGTGCCCTTTGAATAAATTGAATTCCTTGCGATAGGCGCGTGTAAACGAATGTCCAATTTCGCAGAAACTTTTCAAAGCTTTTTTTCTGTCGCTTCAAGAGTTTTTTGAGAAACTTTTGCAGCTTGGTTTGCCCAGCGAAGTCCAAAATCACCAAAAATCATATTTCTTTTCTTTCAAGTACTATTCAACGGGCAGCGTGCCATCATTACGGCCGCATCGACATGGACATCATGACGCCCATGAAGAGGGTGAGCTAGACGACGAAGACGCTCCTAACGAAGCACTCGAATTTCATGCTAACGGCAGCTCCCACGACCACATCGGTAAGCTAATCCTAGACGCTTTTAAGAAGAGAATGGTAGTGCTTCAGTCAATTCCTCAAGTATATTTTGGAAGCAAGTGTTTATGGATGTTTTTGTCTTTGTTTTGTGAGTACCTAACCATAAGCTATTTATTAAATTTCACCGCATACCTCTACTTTCAAAAGAAAAGCTGCTCTATTGAGGGTTCTATAGCAGACGACACATAATTAGACGCATATTTTTCTTTCTCTCTTCTTTCGTATTGACTACGCTTTCAATGTCAACTTGAAGGGATGCCTGAAGACGCTCTGGCTATTTATGGTTGCTATCGCCCAACGTAGTGGAAGTCCCTTGCGAAAAATTTCCTGATTTATTAATTTAAGAGTGGCAGCAGTGCTTCGAATGTGGTTTTACAAAATTCAAATTGAGCAGTTATTTTGACTTTGAGGCGGTGGGGAATTTTCGCTATTTTCTCCTATGACTCTGAAAAAGGTGCTGAACGTTCACTGTAGCACACGCTTCTGAAAATGAGGTTTGCCAGGACGACCGCTAAAACGTCTAAGCGTCAACAAATGACTATTTTTTGTCTACAGAAAATCATTTTTATGGAAGCCCAATCACTTTTTGACATTGTGAAGTCACACCAAAAGATATCAAACAATAGCTCCTTTCAAAAAATTTCATCGAGACGCTCTTCTGGGATGATCTTAATAGAATAATGTAATAAAATCACAAAAACCGTGTGAGAACGGCTTCGGAAATGGAGAATCAAATAGAAAGCGTCCACTAAAATGAGTCTTACGAACTAATTCGACAAGTTTTTAAGGGGCATTGTTCTCGTGTAATTTATTTTTTCTAGTCAATTTTTTGATAGTGCGAAACTTGCCTCGGTTACCGTATAGCCTAATTTACAGGAGAACGTGTGGTGGCTGACGAAATAGCTAAGAAAGTTAGGGTCTTTTGTTGGATTCTCACTGGAAAGCAGAATCACGAAAAACGAGCGAAGCATGTGAAAGCTACATGGGCTAAACGCTGCAACAAGTGAGTGAAGTTTCTTTTTAATATATGTTAAGGCCTAACACTTCAATATCTCGTTTTGGTATTATTTTTTCAGATATGTATTTATGTCATCTGAAAGCGATCCTAATCTTCCGGCAATCAATCTGAATATTTCTGAGGGACGCGATCATCTTTGGGCGAAGACAAAAGCAGCATTCAAGTATCTGCACGATCATTACTTGGTACGTTGTTCGTTTACTTGATTGAATGAAATCCATTCATGTCATGTGCTCTTAACTGAATCCGCAGTCGTAGCTCCTTTACTCTGAAGAGCTCTGAAAAAGCTTCTTCAGAGCTTTTCTACTTTTTGCTCCCAATTCTCTACGAACTCTTCACTATCCCATATCAGGTTTCTTAAACGCCTATTTTTGTTTGTTTTGCCCCTCCATTCTCGAATACTGCCACCCTTCCCTTTTTGGTTTTCCAATTTGGATATGGTAGACTTCGCCGTATGTTCCTTCGATCATTTCTATACAGGCGGTAGAACGCAAAAGTTTTTTTTTGTTCATGAATGCTACCAGGGTTGGGGCCGCAGAAGGAACTCAAAACACGCAGTTCCTCTGCGGCGTGTGATGCACTCAGGGAAATCTTGGCTATGCGATAATATTTCTGAATTTCCCCATAGCAGAAACAACCTATTTTCTATTTCCATGTAGTCTTCGATATATGAAGCATCCTTCATTGCCCACGAGCTCGGTGAGGCTCGTCTCCAATTGCTTGAGCCTAAGGCAGCTGCGATCCCTCTTTCTCGAGTCCTTCTGGTAACGGTTTCCGGAGACAGCTGCTCTCTAAGATTGCATAAGCTACGGAATCCAGATGTACATCTTGGTTTTGTTCTTCATTAATCCGATGTATTAGGTCGTAAGGAAAGTTCTGGCCGTTTTCGATAATTCAAGCTCCATGGCATTATTTCTGGCTAGGGTTTCGACGGACTGCTACGTGTTACATATCGTTAGGAAGCACGTTTCTTGCTCTATCTAATCGCACTGCAAGCTTTGCTTTAGAGGGACTACTCCCACTTATTCGAAACATTAAATGCAACATGCTCAGTTTCACCTTTGCGAAATTTTGTTGACCATAGTCATGACCGAACAACTCATCCGAAGTTCATGGGTTATTGAGAAGACTCCATTCTACAAGGGGAGTCACGATCCGGACAAAAAACGGGTCGTTTTCGTTGGAGGAAAGATTGCAGAAGAAAGGCAGATGGTCCCACGGAACCGCGATTTTTCGCAACACCCTCCTTATCGACGTTCCCGTGCTTCTTAAGCTATCCCATGTAACTTGAAACCATAAATTGAATGCGCCCAATTTGGTAGCGGTCTTCTTAATTGTTTGAAGCACATTTGATCCCATCAAAAGTTTCACGTAATTTTTACCGAAGTTCGAAATCCAGCGATCACTATCGCCAATTTCGAGGCTATCGCCATCCCTATACAAGCTCTCCAAACTATAACTTCATGGCTTATTTTTTGCAAATGCATGGCCAAACGAATAATTTATATCATAAGCTGATTCCGCTTCTTTCTGCCCTAATTCGAGGTAGAAGAAGAAAATCGTGAGGATTGGCTTGGTGAGCATGCTGCATTCAAGGCTTTCAAAAAGTGGGACCAGTCCCTATTGAGCAAAGCTTACCGCGGATTTGGATAGAGCAAGAAACGCACTTTCTAATGATATGCAACTCGCAGCAGTCTGCCGGAAAGTTTGCTAGAAATAATGTCATGAAACTTGTACTGTCGAAAACGGCCAGAACTTTCCTTACAACCTAATAATAATGTTCGATAGAGGGCGGCCGCTAGGAATAGCCGGGGAATTTTTGGAGCAACATGACCGACCTTGTGTTCGTAGAGTTCGCTTTAGAAGTGTGAGGCAACTGCTACGTCTACCAACTGGACGATGACATTTTGCCTTGCTGACAGACCCAACGCCTTGGTGACCTCACCTTCCAGTAGAACTGAGCTCTGGCTCGTGGTTTTCAGAAACCCTGCTTGAATCGAAGAGGGTGGAAATTCATCAACAGGCAAAATCTTCAAAAGCATAACGTGTTTCGAGTTTTTTTCGATTTTTTTTCCGATTTTGGGTTGAAATCCGAGAGTTCGTGCTGACAATAGAAAATCGCGAAGTTGCTGAACTTAAAGTCGCATCATCTTCGCGCAGTAGAATCTTTTGAACCGTCCGTATAGCATGTTTTTATTAACTTTTGCAATCTTTTGAAATGTGCCTTCAAAATCCCAGTCGAAAAATTCCTTTTAAGGTTTGAGAAGGTTTGTTTAGTTCAATGATGAGAGTGGAGTGGAGGTGACTCTTCCTATTGCTCTATAGAACAATTAAATGGCAAAAAAGTAAAGTGATAAAGTAATGAATGATACTTTTAGAACGAATACGACTGGTTCCTGAAAGCCGATGACGATACCTACGTAGTGTTGGAAAACTTGAGGTATCCTCTTTTAGTTTCCTTTTTTTTTACATTTCCGATCGGAATCGACGTGCTCTTAGGTATATGCTTCTTGCTCACTCGCCTGATCAACCAGTCCATTTTGGCTGTAAGTTCAAGCCGTTCACGAAGAAGGGCTATCACAGTGGTGGTGCCGGTTACGTCCTTAGTCGAGAAGCTCTGAAGAAGTGCGTTACTCACATGGCATTCTCTCTGTAGTGTTTCTGAAGAAGAATTAAAAATCAAACAATTTTTCGAAAAGACTAACATTTTTGTAGGTTTGTCAAAGAAGGCTTAACCGATCCGAAGAAATGTTCTCCCAACCACGGCGGCGCGGAAGACGCTGAAATGGGGAAATGTCTGGAGAAGATTGGCGTCGTGGCTGGCGATTCGCGAGACGGTGAAAAGCATCACAGGCACGTTTTTCTGGGTTTTCTGAACTTGAAATGCACTGTAAATCAAAGGAACGATCAACATCGGTAGTTGTTATTATCGCTGGGGACATTTCCGATGATGTTCGTATGTTCAGTCCATATCCCGTCCTCCGAACAGGCGTGTCACCGGGGCATCCCCGCATTGATGAAGTCGCGTGGGTGAGCTGTTCAGCATGTTTTGCTGATTTCAGTGAAGTATGTTGAGAGCAGCTTATCCTATCTTATTTTATTCTTTCAAGTGCGGTAGCCGGCTTATCTTTTTCATTGTCACGCCTACTCAGACGACGAGATGTGGACTTTTGTTTTGTTTCCCTTACCCCGGCGCACTACAATTGAAGAAATTGACGTGGCACTTCGATGCCATGTGAATGTAATATTTCCTCTATTTCGCAAGACGAGAAGAGCGTCGAGTGCAGACCACACACCACAAGTGACGACGGCCAAGAAAAAAGCCACTTTTTTCGGCCGTCGTCACTTGTGGTGTGTGGTCTGCACTCGACGCTCTTCTCGTCTTCCGAAATAGGGGTACACATGATATCGGTTTCTCATCGAAAATTCGCCACGTGTGTCACCGTACACCCCGTTGCTGGAACCAGAGTGTACGTATGTAGTGATCCAAGGGTTAAAATCCAGTTCGGGGGGGGGGCACTCCATTGCTATCTTATCCGTAGTACTAGAGAGCAGTTCTTTGGGCTATCGAACACTACGGATAAGATAATAAGTGAACGACTCATTTCGAGCGTACTTTTGATAAGGACCGGTGGATGTCCTACATTCCACACTACCTGCCCACATCCCATCCACTTTTCTGCACAGGTGATCCACCCTGGAGCTCCTCCACCCTTAGCCCTAGGCGGAGGTGTCCATTCTCCTGGTCCAGGACCGTTTCCTTGGACCATGGCAGGCGGAAATGTCAGAGTTCTTCCCACATTACACCGATAATTATCAAGAATTATACTTTAAATGAGTCGATTACGTGTCATGAGCTCTATATCCTTATTCTTTTGAGTAGTTAGGAAAGATAATGCCGCCCCCCCCCCCCCTAAGGTGGAGTCTTCACCTTCGAAGAGATATAGAAGTTAGACCAAGTTTTTTTTTTTTTTAAAAGGCACCAATACGATCGATGCGAGCTAATCAGGCTATCGCAAAGTATGAAGAAAAAATTAGTGTAGAATCTTGTCGAGCTAGCAACTGGTTGTGGCTGTACAAAAGGACCGAGAACGATGGAGCAATGCGCTGTACAAAATGCCGAAACGATGGAGCAATGCGCACAGAAATGATATGCACGGCGATGTTTCATCGCTGATGTCACAAATGTTCTATCGATAGAATGCAATGTTTACAGATTCTTCCCATTCGTACCAGAACATCATATCGTACCCGGTCATGTTGACAAATCGTTTTGGTTCTGGTCCTACATATATTATCCGATGGACCAAGGTCCAGACTGCTGCTCTGGTAGGTTGAGTGGAGAATCACTTTTCTTTTTCTTTTCAATGGAACGTACACCACAGCAGTCGCTCTTTGTTCGCAATACCTTAATGTGATGCATGCGGTGGCGAAACAGCTAACTCGTATATTTCAGCCGAAAATTAGTTCTGTTTATGGTCGTCAAGGGAGGAGTGACTCTCGTTTTGTTCTTTGTCTACGTTTCTGCTTTAAATTGTGTGTTACAAGTTATTCCTGAAGTGGTAGCTAGAATATTCACGTGACGGCAGCGCACTATCCCCCCGTTCATCATAGTTTTGAGTAGCACAAGTTAATGAGTTAGAATTGCTTTACAGATTACGCCATTTCTTTCCACTATGTCAACTCGAACCTCATGTATGCGCTTGAATATTTGATCTATCACCTCAAACCGTTTGGAGTTGATCGCTCACTCAGGTACGTATACTTACCTTGAAGTTTTGTCGTTTTCAGACCAATTTTTTAAACTACTGGTATTTCTTATTTCGTGACTAGCCATCGTGCAGTTGGATAAAAAGGATAAAGGATAAAGCATTTGCCGTTGATCAATCCCTTTTGGGATGCGGCACGCATTCTACTTCCATTTGTACATTCGTAGTGGCGTTTGAATGCGATGTGGCCTATACAATGACTTGCGGGGGCCAGCCGATGTACAAGTTTTTTATCCTCCCAGACAAGTCTGGTACCAATTAACCGACCCCGGAGGGATGGAAGGCTTGGTTGGCCCGGGCGACTCACGACCCAGGATTTGATCCCGGACCGCTCGCGTGGTAAGCGTGCCACTTGCCACTACACCACTTCCGCCCAATTTGAAATAAGGCAGAACTCTTCATCAGTTGGCTAGCTGCGGTTTTATACAAAACAAAAATTAAACAGTAGCCGTTGCGCTGAGGATAAGGATCAGTTAGTTCGCGAACAAAGCTTGATGTTGAGGGGGGAGAAGGGTTCGGATGTGGTAGAATGGGCGCGTGTTCTCATGGGAAAGCAAAAGTCTTACAGTATGGTGATGAGTGATTTTTAGAAATATGTATTGTGTACTATGTGGTCACAAACATACCATGGTAGAATCTAGCTCAGGTCTGCTTCATAAGCGGGCATCTTTGTTAGTGCTGCCCGCTGAGATCACATTTTTGGCAGAGTGGAAGGTCCGGAGAAGATTCGAAAGCGAAAGCGATATGGTACATGCGCCCCGTAGCTTTCACCCCCGCAAAAATTGGATTTTCCGTAGGCGGAATGTGGCCATGTCTTAGTGACTGTGAGGAGTCGACATTAGCTGAAAGTGAGGGTGTCGATCGGATAGTGGAACAACTTTTGTGGGAGAGGTCTTATTAATTACCTTTCCTTCTATTATATTACGCCTTAAGATTTATTACTGCAATCTATGAGTCGATAATTCCACGAAAGTTCCTTTTTTTCTCTTCAGAGTTGGGTCGAACGAGACGATATTGCAAGCAGCGTATGCGTCTGCTCGCCGTGCAATGGGTCCAGATGACGTGTATAGAGATGTGCAAATAACGCTCTAAGAGCACATATATGACTTGCTTTATCTTAGCCATCTGAGCCTGGCAGGCTTTCATTCTCTACATGTAAATGGGCTTTTGTTCATAATAATTACTCACAATATTGCTTTTGAACTTTCCACTAACAGTAGCAAACTTACCTTAACTTCCTTACTTCTTAATAACTTTGTCATTCTTTAAATTTGTACTAATTTTCTACTCGTAACTTTTAGCACTTTAATCGATACGTTTCATTTTCTGATATTTCTATGTTGTCACGTAGTGAAACGGGGTCGTGTGCGTTTATCAAGCGGCCTTTCATACCATTTATTGATTTTTGTTCAGTGTGTTTGTGAGAATTTCAGTGGCTTTTGATCTTTAGTCAGTGCCATCCAATATCATGCATTAGGTGGCGATGGCCTGCCGTTTTTCTACCTTCCATTCTTTCCTTTTTTTCTAGACTATCAGTTTTTTTACGCTTATAGATGTCTAACAGCCTATGTGTTTATTTACTTGTTTTTTGTATCTGTTTTGTAGTCGATTTAGTTTAGATCCCCTATATGTATGTTGTGTGTGATTTTTCATGATTTGTACCTGACATATTGATGTGCGATGTTTTTCTGAAATGGTCCGCTTTTGCTATGGATACGTGTGGACATGGTGTCCGTCTAGTCCGAAATGATCCTTTGTGGGGTATATACATTTGTTCTTGCTTGATTTATTTACACTCACATTGAAATGATATATTGACATTCATGAAATGCTTATGAAGTTTTAATCACATGCCTTATCGGGTACATTTGTTTACAATCTTCTTTGGTATCATGTCTTGCAAGAAATTGCCCAGAATCAGTGGAAGCACTGCTGTCTGAGAAAGTCTTCCCAAAATGCTTTTTTTTCCCACAAAATCGGCTTTGTCTGACTAAGAATAAAAGTTCTGCTGAAGGACTTGAATCTCAAAAATGAGCTTGAGCTTGCCGTTTTCACGTACCGGTTTTCAAGTGATGTAATAGGCAGACCCATTTTTGATAGGATAAAACTGATTTCAATTCTGACTCAATTTCAATTTCTTGGCCCTTTGTTATCTGTTCTACCAGATTGCACTGGCACTCTCTTATTTATGCGGGATAGCTTCTAGGTATTTTGTGCTATGATGGTCATTGCACCTTAAAACCCTATGTGGTAATGGTAAGCCTTTGCTTGTTGGAGGCGTGTATGATTGCTATTGCAGATATTTTGTAATCCAGCGTTTTATACGTTTTGTGAGCAGTACAGTGATACACCAACTGCGTCATTTCAGAGAATTCAAAATAACGCACTGACTCTCTTGGGCTGCTTTCATAGATTGCGGTCCGTGTGGACCGCGCGGAGAGAGTGAAAAGCGTCAACACGCGCTCTGGCGCACGATGCGTACTTGGCGCGCAGTCGGCGCCTTCCGATCGATAATCCTAATTTCAATACATTTTTTCTATATTTTGACGTTTTGTGTGCCGTTTTGCTTTTTCTTGCGGTTGTTTAGCTCCAAAACTTTTCCTTTTTGTATGGATTACTGCTTTTGCTTACTAATGAACTCACTTGGGGCTTACTTGCCACTTTCAAACACTGTATGAACCTAACCATTCTAGGACAGTTGAAAAGCAATGATTCACACGAAAAAGAAAAAGATTCTCGCCAAAAAACACGAGCAAAAGCAACACGGCACGTGGAACACCTGAAAAACAAAAGGAGAATGTAATGAAACCGAATTTATCGATCGGAAGTCGCCGACTGCGCGCCAAGTACGCATCGTGCGCCAGAGCGCGTGTTGACGCTTTTCACTCTCTCCGCGCAGTCCGCACGGTGCGCGCACCGCAAACTATGAAAGCAACCTTGGCTAGATTGAGCCTACAATAACACCGTACAAGTCAAGTCCAAAATTCGTAAACAAGCCTTAGGATTTGATTGAGTTCAGCGAGCGGTTTGTATCCGCTTGATTGAATTCTCCCTTTGTAGAATGCTGTTCCAAAAAAAGAAATGCGGACATTCGGAATCTCTTTGGAGTTGCTGGTTGTATGCAGGCCACTCTTTGAGAATATGAGGATACATATTAAGGCGTCACTTGGACGCACTCACAAGGGCTCAATGCTCTTCATCAGTGCGGGGAGGGGGTTGATCGGATGTTAGTGCTGATTGTTCTACGAAGAATATTGAATGATGAGTCGACTTTGAAGATTAGAATGAGGACGTTTGCTGTCGCGACAGTAGGTAAGGGGTGTAACTTTCGAGTGCTTCTCCAACTATTAACCACAAACGAGTGCATGGCGCACCTCAGAGCAGAAGAGTCTACTGCAGAAGTGTCCATATTTGACTGTTCACGTACACAAATATGCTCTCGAGGAGAACCAATGTCTTCAAACTGGACCTAAGTTAGTAAAAGAGTGACCACTTGGGTAGACTGACTAAAAAAAGTTTGGAAAAAATATTTGCCTGTCGGCGACTTCCTGAAAAGGGTTTCAGTATCTGTTATGAAGCACAAAGCTTGTGCGATGTCATGGTATCATTATTCCCCATAAAATTGAGTTTGAAGAGAGCTGTGAGTGTTTGAGTGTTGAAAACTCGTGTTTTCAGGAGAGTAGCTCCGAAAATTCATGAAAAAAGGGTCCAACGGGACGATTTTTTGAACGATTCATTTTGAAACGTGGTCAAGTGAATATTTGCACAAGTTGAATCTGAAGAAAGTTATAACAGTTTAAAGCCAAAAAACCAGCGCTCTGCCAAAAATCGGTCCGCGATTTCCCAAAACGGTCCAACGGGGCGATTTTTTGACTCCGTCAATCAATTTTGAAAAGAGTTCAAGTATTCGTTAGAAAGCTCTAACCTTCTAGTTTTTTTCAGGGGACAAGAATTGCAAAGGTTGAATCTGAAGAAAGTTATAGTCATTGAAAGCCAAAAAACCCGGTTGTGCACAAAAAACGGTCCAACGGGGCGATTTTTTGAAGAAATGAAACTTTACAAAAGTTTGAGTACTTTTTAGAAAGAAAACAATCTAGAGTTTCAAATTTTCTTACCACTTCTCACACTTTCTTATTTGAAGAAAATTACAACCTTCAAATGAAGAAGTGCGCATTTCTGTGAATTCTTGATTCTCTACCCTATATTCAGAACAGTTTTGAAGATACTGCAACCCGCGCATAAATTTTCCAGAAACTAGCAGCCTCTTAGATTACAAATCTACTTAGCGCTTTGAAAATATATTGATGGTGGCTAGAATTACACTCATTTCAAAATTAGTAGTCCGCCTCAGTCTATCGGCGCAGCTAGGCCGAGGGGAAGATTGCGCGAGCCATTGCCAACGCAACGCTCCCGTGCTCAATTCGCACACTTTTGCAGTCGACTCTGGTGCTCTGAGATGCGCCATGCACTCGTTTGCCACTCAAAATCATTATGAATATTTCCATTTTGATATGTGCTTGTGTATCGAAATGGAATTTTTTTTGTGATTCTGAAAGCCAAGTCATTAATTTTGTTTCATTAATGCCCACAATTCATCTACAGGCTTTCCCGCGGAAGCAGCGCCATTTGAACTATAGGCCAATACTGTTTTGCAACTAATGAAGGCATTTCGTTTTGTGATGCTGTATATTAAGTGAAGTACTGGATATCATCAGCTTCCTAGAGCTCGTCTGCTACTTGTGTCTTGAATTCAAGCCAAGTGTCTTTAGATTTTTAGCAGCCTGCCAGACCTGCCAGCTTTTTTCGTTGGGCAGTGTACAGTACAAATAAGTGCTGGGGGGGGGGAGGGCCGTTGTTCAAGAATTTCTAAGAGGGAGGGGTCCTTTTCAAGACTCTAAAGAGGGGGGCGCACAATTTTTTAACAAATTTTTAAATCGGTGCGCAACGTGACCGTTGACCATAATCGAGGACTATCATGGAGAAACCATCGAAAGATGGGTCGCCGATGGCAGTGTGGACCAGGCAGTAAAGGCACGGATCAACGCGGCATGGATGAAATGGAGGGAGTCCACTGGAATCCTCTGCGATCGAAGGTGCTCCAGAACGCTCAAAGGGAAGGTGTACCGAACAGTGGTAAGGCCTGCGATGCTCTACGGCAGCGAGTGCTGGCCCCTTGAACAACGAATCAGGCAGCTCTCACACTCCGCTGAGAGGATGTTGAGGTGGGCCTGCGGTTGGACGCGACTGGACAGGGTCAGAAACGAGGATGTCAGAGCGGTCATGCAGACTGCCCCTGTCCAGCTGAAGGTACGGGAACAGCGTCTGCGATGGTATGGGCATGTGCTAAGGAGGCCACAGGATCATCCGATAAGGAAGCGATGGACTTCGAAGTGCAAGGCAAGCGACCGCGAGGAGCCCCAAAGAAGAGGTGGAGAGACGCGATCAGGAAGTACTTAAGTGAGGTCACGGCCACGGTAGAAGATGCCTTGGGTGGAGCATATGCCGGATTTGCGCCCCACATCTGCTTTCTCATAGGTGAGTCTATTCCCTCCATCGCATCAACCACAAGGGGGAAAGCAAAATGAAGCTACAAGCAGGGCGCAATGCTCGCCCATAGTACCAGCGCATAATGTGACTCTAAGGGGGTTCTAGCACTTCCCTTCATTCTCTTCCATTGCTCGTGCGCACCAACCACATCCCCACCTTTAGAATGTAGGAAGCGGCACCTAATCAGTTGAGGAATGTGCCCTCAAGAAGGTTAATACTACCGTACAGCTCTACGAGCTGTGTGCAAAAGCTTCGAACAGCTGGTCGGTTGTGACTGTGTAATACTATTATATGGCAATTTTTGGGTTTTTTCTCGTGTGGAGGATGAAGAGTGATGTAAAAGGTTTGGTTATTTTGATGCTGGTTCAGATGTAGGATTTTTACTGATGTCGTTCTCTCAAGCTTTGCCTCTGGTCGGACTATTGTAATTTGAACAGAACGCATCTGTATAAATCATTCGTGATTTTTATCTCTGCTGGACTTTCTCTGCTATTCCGACGAAATATTAATCGCCATATTCTCTCAAATTTCTTCTTAAATAGCTA